TATTTTATCCCGCTTTTTCCATATCCCAAGCATGCCTTTGTTCCCGCTTCGGGGAACTTTCAGTAGTTTGCAGTCTCGGTGTCAGTTGGGCTGTCTCGAAAGCTGGTCGGAAGAGTTGTTGTGTAGTAGACGAGGTTTGTTTGCCTGTGAAACAAAGTCATTTTTCCTCTTTTTTTTTTTTTTTTTTTTGGACTTTCCCTCTCCGGGTAGTGAGGTGTTCCGTTCCCACATCCACCTGCACACAGTGCTGAAGTTGCAGACACCTCTGATCAGTGGCACGAAGCTTCCAAATTTCCCGGCTTTTTAAGTTCGACCAAAGACGCGTGGGAGACGTGGGGGAGTTGAAAATACATATAACAGAGGACAACAAAAGCCAGCCTCTGGTGGCTGTGCAACCCAAGGGGCTGTGGTGACGTAAAATGCCAAAGTTGGTTAATTTGTAAAAGTTGAGAAAGGGAGGAAAAAAGAAAACCTTTTTATTTCCAGTGGTGCCACTTCAGAGCAGCTGAGCTGCCCCGTCCAGCGGCGCAGGAGGGACACCCCTGTTCCCAGGCCTTCCAGCTCCCCCCCAAACAGTTCTAGAACTTCAGAGAGAGGAGGTGATGAGAGGTTTGCCTCCTCTCACCCTGGCTGAGGTCACTCCACGTGTTTTCTGCGTTGCCTCACCTGGGATTTGCCAGGACGCTTCAAATTCCAGGGCGGCGAATCCAAGGGGGGTTTTCCCCCCTCCCTGGAGCAGAACACCCCTCCTTTCCTGCAGCTCTGGGAACAGGTGCAGTGCAGTTTTGTGTTCAGCTGCTGGGTTTTGTTCTCTGGGTGACTTTGGGCCCTGCTGTACCTGTTCCCAGCTGGCTGAGGGTGGAGCAGCCCTGGGAACACCGAGGAGCAGTTGAGGTTTGGGTCATTTTTGTCACCCTGTCTGTCAGTTGAGGACTCTCCACCTTATCCCGGGGGTGAGTGGTTAAAGGTGGGCCTCAGGCTGGGAAAGGAGAGCTGCTGGAGCTCCTGGGGTGTGCAGGGAAGGGTTGGGATGGAGCCAGAGGCAGCACCTGGAGTGACCTGGGCTGGGCTGAGCGAGGATGGAGCTCCTCCCTTTCCCTTCCCAAGGCACTGGGAACCCTCCCAGTGCTGCCAGTGCAAGGAGACCCTTTGCTTTTCCTTGTGAGGGAAATAACTGAATTTCCCCTGGGTTTGTGCAGTTGCAGCAGGTGATTTTGGACCTTAAACCCTCCCACAGTCACTTTTCCTGGTCACTTTTCCCCACCCAGGGGAGCTGGGTGCCCATCCTGAGCTGCTGGAAGGTGTGTTGGAGGATTGAGCTGCAGTTTGGAAAAGCATTTAAACACATCATGTCATGCTTGCTGGTGACATCCAGGTGTAACCTGACTGTAAATGCAATACTGTATTTTCCTCTCTGTTTTCTTCCCTGCCTTTCGAACAGCCAAGCTCCAACCACCCAGGGAAGGCAACAGCTGAGAGGTGAGTTGAGAGGTGATGAGATGTTGCAACCATAACGAGGGAAGGGCAAATATTCATGGTGGAAATATCATTTTGTCATATCGAAAAGATGGCATCAGTGTATTACAAACAAAGTAACTTGGGATTTTTGTAATCGATACTCTCTTGTATTATTTTTTTTCGTTTTGTTTTTAGGTTAAATTAAGGATTCTTGCTGACATGTTGAAACACGTTTTCTAAGGCAAATACTTGCAAATTATACCTGTAGAAATTGTAGGTTTCGTAGCTGCCAGCTATGACTGATTAACGTTGTCATATCTCAGAGGGACTTCACCACGTACCTCGCTCAGAAAGTTCAGCC